CTTTCAAATATGTATAGTGTTGCCAGATACGTAGCGCTTTGTACATAGCCGCGAAATTCAAAAGACAAAAAAGCGGAGACATTTGAAAACCTTATATTAACAGCCATAACTTCTTACCCTAGAGCAATTTTGAAGACATAATACAAATCTTATGAAAACATTATTTTTTCTTTTCTACAATTATTTGGTACGCCTGGTGTGACGTTCGTGAGGCGACGGGTTGGGGAAGAATTTCATCCATATTGCGTGGTACCCACTGTTAAGCATGGAGGAGGCGGCATTATGATCTGGAGCTACATGGGTGCTGATGGTGCGAGGGTCGCATGGACGGTTAAAAGTGCATAAATCTAATAGAAACTGTTCTTCTCCCTTCGTTAACGCGCATTTTCGGCGATACCAATTTGGATGGGGTTCAATTTCAGCAGCGACTACGATGCCTTGGTTTAGAGATAACAATATTGTTTTGTTAGATTGGCCTCCACAGTCTACAGATCTTAATCCGATTGAGCACATGTGGCTTATTTTAAAAACGTAAGATTAAGGAACACGGTATAACATCAAAAGCTGCTTTAAAGAATGCCTTAATTAACGAGTGACACGCTATAAGGGCGGACGAATGTCCAGAGCTTGTACGCAGCCTGCCTAAGAGAATTGCTGCCGTCATTTGATCGAAGGGTGGACCTACTAAATATTAATGTTATTATCACTAATTCACTGTATTTTCACTGTTTTGCTAATAAAACTTCATTACTTCACTTGTTAAAACAGAAAATTCAGTAATTAGTGAAGTGACGAATACTTTTGGCCAAGGCTGTATGTTTATGTATATATATAAAGATATATTCTTCCAAAATAATATTTCAATTGTTGTATGTAGAGAAATATGTGCAATAATCATATTAATATCTTTAATTCAATCAGTTTTATAATAAAATTCCAATTTGATAGCAATTTTTATGTAGCAAAATATTGTATCTTGCAATCCTGCAGTCAAAAACTAAAACCTGTGCGGGAAAAACTAAGTCAAATTTGAATCTTGAAAAGAAAAATTAAAATTTCTTGAAGTAAACAACGTTAGCCTAAAAACTCTACTAACCAGTGCAATATTCAGGCGGATTACGGATCATTTTCGTAAAATTTGTTAGTTGCTTGTTTGCCACTGATTATTATGCATTCTAGCAATAACACAATTATTTTTTAATTATATTTACTTCTAAGTACATTCAATTACATTAAATGGTTATTCAGTATTGATCAAAGACAATATCGTATAAAACTAGCATTTTTATGATTAGTTTCATACCATTACGCCTTTAAATTTTTACACCAAAAAATCTGTGATTTCAAAGGCCATGGTACGATATGTATAGTAAATCGGCCCCAGAGAGCCTTCAGTATATGAAGGTACCGAAAAGATAATTCGAAGCTGCTAGCTACAAATGTTCTCTAACTCTTATTCCTCACCGATGCAATTATCGTTTGATAACAACATTTTTTAATCATTATTTCGCTAACCCTCCCGGATATAATTCATTATTCATACCATCCAATGGCCTTTATTAACTTATATTCTCAAAGTATTAGAGATGTTTTATTATTAAATTATTTTTGAGTTTTATTAAAATTAAAATATTCTGGTGCATATTAGTTATGAAATTTTGTTGAGGTTTCAAAGAAGTAAAAATTGTTGAAGATTATGGCTCAGCAAGACCAATTTAAATTGATAATTCAAAATTTGAAGCAATTTTTTCATTTATCAATCAAAAAATTTAACTCGGCTTAAGCCCGATCTAAACTTGTTATTCACTGAACTGCTTATTTATCGGAATTGAAAATCAATATCTGATTTAAATAGTGTTATAAAACCGACTTGATGTTGCTTTTTTCGAATATAACCAATGCGCTGGACTGGAGACCAGATTTGATGTAAATGCAATTTGCTTTCTACTTTTACATTTGCTAATACAAAATTTGTTTATAAGTATATTCATATACCAATATCGTCTTAACAAACAAGCCTTCGTAATAGTGCTGGAAGTCATTGAAGACAAATTTGATAGGCGAGAGATAGGCATCCCACTTGTGCTCCAACTTGGAGCGACACTGCCGTTTTTGTCAGAAGACTCCTATCAACGGTCTATGAGCAATGACTCAATATCTGCTTAACTTACAGTCTCTGTGGCTATAATAGCAGTACTGAAGACGTTTGGACGGTTGATTTGCCCACGCTGGCTAAAGGTAGGAATAAACAAAAATGAAAAGCGGGGAGCTCGTAACCAATGGTGGAACCGCCCATTGACGAACATTTATTTTTTTAACCGCAAAGGATATTTCAGTTTCATGTTCTTGACTTATATTTTTATTAAATTTCCGCTGCACACAATTCTGTCAACGTTGGACTGCTCGGTTTAGTTTCTGGCGATACAAATTCTGTTTCGAAAATGAAACCGAAATGCAAATCAATAATCCGAATGTCTAACTCTTTGAGCAGTATTTTGTCGGTGACAATTCCGATTCTAACAACAATCTGATTCTGTAACACCGCTGATTATTAAACTATTTTCAAACGCCTTAAAAACTACAAGAATAGAATTTTTTTTATAAAACTGATTGTTTTAGAACATTCATAAATACAAACGTAACAGTGTGGGTAAAATCATTGCAGGTTTAGTTCTCAACAATCAACTGACCAACACACACTGAAAGCAACAGCTGCTCTTCAAAAAACATCTTAAACACTCCAAATATATGGAAAACTTCTCTTTTTCGGACCCTTTTTGATTTTATAAAACTTCAATTTGTTTACGTAAAAATTATTTGATTTTTAAAAGAATATATAAAAGCTAGACTAATATGATATCTAAATTACATTTACGAGTTTATTGGCGAGCGGGAAAAATAAGAACCGAAATAAATTTATGAAGTACATTTTATTTATTTTTATCTGTTTTCTATTTTTTTTTTTTCAATTGAGTATAGGGACATTTTTTTTTCAAAACTTATCAGCCGATGTTCTTTATATTCCATTAAAAAACACACAAAATCAAATTTTTAAAGCACATTTTCAATTAAAATTTCATATATACATATATTTTTAATTTAATATTTATAAATATTTTTTTATTAATCATCGAATCGAAATTCGTCAAATTTGTCTAGTCGTGTGTTCGAAATATCGAAACCTGTTGCTCATGTATGAGTGCATAAGTTCGTTTCCGATTTCAAGTGCAAACTAAAATTGAAATTTTTTGAAGAAAGCGCTTTTATTAATCAATTATGTAATCGCCATCATGTTCGGCAATCCACTCCCAACGTTCAACCAATTTACGGATGCCTGATTCATAGAAATCGCGCGGTTTCTCGTTGAAAAAGGTGT